ATAGCAGGGCTCCTAACTTCCAACAAGTAGCATCCTGGAGCTGGCTGAAGGGAGGTCAGAAATAGGAAATGCCCACATCTAGCTGTTCGCCCCCTAAGCGTGGGCAAGAGCCCTGCTGCTAGAAAAGGAGAAGAAAACACAGAGTGGCAAAGTTTGGTAGAAAATACACAGGAACAGCCTAAAACAGGCTGGGCCTGTGTGAAGGAAGTAAAATATGGTAAGACTTTAGTGGTCTCTCTGAAACGATAATTTTGAGATTACAGTAATGTGGATAAGTTATATCAAAATTTCAGACCATTTTTCCCTCCTGCGTTGCATTATTTTCTTAGATGAGCTCTATGAGATAATAGTGGTTATTTACATGGAGCACTTTACCGGGAATCAGCACCCAAATGCAGTATCTCATTTAATTCTGACAATAAATGTATAAGGTACCTCTCTTTCACAGATAAGGGAACTGAAACTCAAAGAAGTTAAGTCCCTTGTCCCAGATCTCTTAGCTAGCATGTAGGAGAGCCAGGATTCAAATTCAGGTCTGTCTCTCAGCTGGATTATACTACACCATACATACAGAATGAGCAAACGTGGAAACTGAAGCAAAATTAGCTTGCCTGATAGTAGAAGGGCCCTAAGTCAGTGTGTGCCCGGGACTGCTGGGTTCACGAAAATTGTCATGCCTACCTGACCGCGAGTCTTCAGGCATTCACAGGCACCCTGTTGGATATCTGTCTTCAGCTTTTCTCGATCTGACACTGTGACTTTCCTCCTGGGGACGAAAATGGGCTGAGCAGCCAACCCAGGTGTTCCAGTCTGGTTTGCATATTTCTCACTGAAAAGGAAGGAATTGTCTTTCTGGTGTGTGTGTTTTCTTTCCTTTTCATAATATGCCCAAAGCCATGTAGCCTTGTAACGGTGAAGCCAGAAATAAAACCAAGTCTCCCCAGTTTTTGAAAAGGTAATTGTTTGAAGTACTTTAGGAGAAATACATTGTTTGAATGTAAATTCTATAAATCTTTAGCAATTAGCCATTGTAATTAGGCTTTACAAGTAGGATCTTTAAAAATTCTAGGGCTTCCTTAAAAAGAGACCATTGGTCCCATGGTACCCTCCTCAAGGTGTCCTTTTTCCTGGGGCTACTCACATCACTTGGTTGAAAGAATCTAACTCTCGGTCCAAAACCAAGCACACTTAGCTTTTGCCCATTAATAGTAGCTTTAGAAAAAAACAGAAGAGACTGAACAAATTAAATTTCCTTACAGTCTGGCATGTAATTTCTATTAGGTTTCAAGACTGAACGTGTGCTAATCTAGGAAGCTACATTACTATCCCCCAAAGACATTTTGAAATAGCTAGAACAGTCCTCAAATCTGTTCTCATTTTCCTCTGTCATTAAAATGTAGATCTATTACAGGAGGCCCGCAGAACTCCATCATTAAGAAATCCTGAAGTTCACCTTCCACTTAACAATCAAAGCACATCTTTCTTTTTTTATAGAAGATTTCTTGGGGCGCCTGGGTGGTTCAGTCGGTTAAGCATCCGACTTGGGCTCAGGTCATGATCTCGCGGTCCGTGAGTTCGAGCCCCGCGTCAGGCTCTGTGCTGACAGCTCAGAGCCTGGAGCCTGTTTCAGATTCTGTGTCTCCCTCTCTCTCTGACCCTCCCCTGTTCATACTATCTCTCCCTGTCTCAAAAATAAATAAACGTTAAAAAAAAATTAAAAAAAAGAAAGATTTCTTTTTTCATTATGACCAAAGCAAATCACCTTTATTATAAACAGTTGTATAAAAAATACAGATTTTTAAAAAGAAGAAGATTTAAGTCACTCATATTCCAGCCAATAGATTTATGTCAGTCTTTCTCTTTATGCATATAGTGTTTAAATAGAAGATTATACTTTATATACAGCTTCATAACTTTTTTTCTCATTTAGCAGGTTTTAATAGTTTTCTGTGTTGTTTAATCCAGAGCTACTATATTTTTAGTGATTGCATAGTATTCCATAGGACAGAGTATTGTTAAAACCGTAGCAACAGTTAACATTTACCATGGAATTAATACCTGACAGGCACTATGTTAAGAGCACTTAACGTGTTATCTTTCAACAACTGTATGGATTACAGATATTATCACCCCAATTTGTATAGCCAAGAAAACCGAGGTTCGGAGAGGTTAGGTAGGTTATGTAACTTACCCAGGTCACACACTTAGCAGCTTGCACAGGACTGGCAGACTCCACATTTCCTCACTTTAAGTATTCCGGTGGAGTCCTGCCCTTAAAATGTAGGTCATCAACTCCATTTTGATCATTCTTTCCGATTATTCACGTTTAAAAACAGTCTGGCGACGGACAACCTCATAAATGCGTGTGTGTGTGCGCATGTGTGTGTCTTCTAAACATTTGTAATTATTAGCCTCAGATTAATTGCCTTAAAGGGAATTGCAGAGATCAAAAGCTATGTAAAATGCTAAGACTTTGGGTAGATACTTTCAAATTGTATTTAAGAAAAGGTTGTACAAATTCACCTTCCCATTGGCCTAGCAGTGAGTAGGAAAAATATATATTTATCTTCCGAAAGCCTTTGTTACTCCACTTTCTGTTCTGGGTCTTGTTGGTTTTCCCGTCAGAGTCAAGGCGCATTGTGTCCTCTTCCTCTGTACCGCCATCACCTCTGCCACATCACCTGCGTTTGTGCAGCCTCATACAGAGATTTTGCTCGCTCCAATTCCTTCCACTAATTTCAAGTTCGTTTAGGGTGGTAATACTTTTTTGGAAAGCAACATGGTAAAATGGAAAGAACATGGATTTCAGAGTCAGACAAACCAATTTCTAGATCTCAGCTCTGTTAACTTCTCAGTTATGTTTCATTAGGCAAATCCCTGTCCTCAAGCTTCATTAGGCAAATCCCTGTCCTCAAGCCTGTCTTATCTATAAAGCAGGAGTAATAATACCTCCCCTACTGTATTATTGTAAGCAGGAAGTTCATGTGAAAATGTCAATCACATGATGCCCGGTACATAGTAGGTGCTCAAAAAATGTTCCTTCTCCCTTTTTATTCCCCACACAATGCTGGTCCAGTGTTATGCACACACAAGGTACCTGTAAGTGTCGCAGGTGCTTGTTGTAGGAGTAAAAGTAGCCCAGACAAGCTTTAGAGCTAATGATAGATAATGTGTGTACCTGGGCAAAGGCCAGTGCTTGGGGCCAGTGGCCCAGCAGCCTACACCGTAATGCTACAGTCCGATTGCCTGAAATGTCCCCAGAATCCGCATGCCTCAGTCTATGTTCTGTATCTCTCTAGTTCCATGATCAAAATGAATAGGTGGGAATTTGAACTTGAGGAAAATTAGTTTCTCAGGAGGCCTCTTTCCAAGCTTCATATAGCAATAGAGAAAAACAAGTTCCAAAGTAAGCTACTTATGGAGCTTTGCTCTCCAACTGGTGGATTGGTCAGAATTCTCTGCTACAGTGGGCCTTCTCTAGGAAGCAGTTATTCTCCCCAGCCTTCCTGTGAAGCATTAGCATCAGTCACACACTCCTTCCTCGGGTGGCAGAAACCGTGGTTGTGCCCCTGCCCCTGCAGCCTCTTCTGTAGCTAAGTGTGATCATTTCCTTGGGTGCTGCTTCTGTCAATCCTGTATCTTAGTTACAGCTTCTTTTGCAAACTGTTTTTCTTCTTGTTTATATAGTGGCAGTATTATGCAACACCACCTACACTAAAAGCACAAGAGGAAAACTTTAAGTAGGGAGGGGTAAATTCTTTCTTTTAAGATTTGATTTTTAAGTAACCTCTACACCCAACACGGGGCTCGAACTCATAACCATTGGATCAGGAGTCACATGCTCCTCCAACTGAAGCAGTCAGGCGCCCCTGAAGGGGTAAATTTTAAATGTCAAATGCAAAGTTTACCTGGAAAAGTCAGAATCTTATTTCTACTGATGGCTTTTCATGATGTTTGTTCTTCCAGTGCAGGCTAATTTTTGTTTCCTTTTTTGACAGAGAACTTTGCTTGATCACTGTATATTTCATCAGCTTCTCCCTGAGAAACGGGGCTTGGCTTGCATTAAGGCCCAGGAATTGCTTTTGTTACTTTTTTTTTTTTTTAAACAATCATCTTGGAAACAGCCTGGTGTCGTAGTGCTTGGGCTTTAGACAGACTTGGGTTGTCTCCACTGTGTTATTTACCAGCTGTGTGACTTTGGGCAAGTTACCTAACCTCGTTGAGCTTTTGACTTTCCTCATCACCAGATGAGCTCATGTGTGAATAGTAAATGAGATAATGTATACAAAGTGCCAGGCAAAGCAACCTGCATCCGGTGGGTCCTAATGTCAGTGTCTTGGGCCATTCCGGTTACAACTTAAACCCTAAGTTGTCTGGGATGGGCAGGCATCAACCATCTAAGGCAGTGACTGGACAGAATCACTGCTAATTACATTTTGCAGATTTTTTTTAATAGTAAAGCCAGTGTCAACTTTCATTGTTCTCCAGTACTTTAAATTGTTTTCTGACATGGGGCACCTGGATGGCTCAGTCAGTTAAGCGACTGACTCTTGATACCAGCTCAGGTCATGATCTTGCAGTTCATGAGATCAAGCCACTCAATCAGTGCAGAGCCTGCTTGGGATATTCTCTCTCTCTCTCTCTCTCTCTCTCTCTCTCTCTCTCTCTCATAAATAAATAAATACATACATACATACATACATACATACATACATACATACATAGTTTTCTTATGTCATTAAGCTGACTTAAATTTAAAATCCCAAATCTACTTGACTTTTGCTCATACTTTTAACTTGACCAGTGGAGTCATAACTGACTATTCAACCAAACCTGATCTTTTCACATATATTCCAAATGTGGATGTGTACTGACATGGCCAGTAAGAGGGTTTAGCTCACCAGTGAGAACTTGAAGTCCAGCGTCCCACGCTTTGTCTTGCTTCAGAGCTGCTTTGTAATCAATGACAGGGCACGTCTCCACCTCCCTTTATGCTTCTGTTAATGGAGAACTGTGATGTGTAGATAATTACTTATCAACTTTGTGAGATGCTGAAATGTAAAATGTTGCCAACCTGGACAACAGTAGTCATTACAGTGCAAGAGCTTGGTGGCCGGTGGAGGAAGGGGCATCAAGCCCTCTTCCCGGGTTGCTGTGTTTACGCAGGGCCTTGGGCTCCACGTGGTGCTGCCAGCTGGGGAAAAGAAGGTGAGGTGCAGACATTAACAGCATCTGTCAGTTTTGGCCTCACCCCGTGAGCTCATTTAAGATCTCCTAAGATGCTTTTTGTTCAGATGGGTCAAATCTCTAAAATCACGTGGGAAAAGAAACCTTTTGAATAAGATGAAAAGATAATGGAGGAAAACATGACACATAGCCAAAGCATTAGAATATAAAGTCTGTTCATATTAGAACCTTCTACCGTTTCTCCATGGTTTGTTTCTAATTTTCCCCAGTAAAAAATTAGAGACTTTTTTCTATCTGGCACTTTGTTGTGAAACCTTGCATAAGACTTAATGTTGCTGGGCCTTGGTTTTCTTATGTGTAAAATGAAGACAGAAGTTCCTTCCTGCTTTTTTATATGCTTACACATACGTAAAGCTTTTAAAATATAAATATCTGCTGATTTGGGGGCACCTGGGTGGCTCAGTCGGTTAAGCATCCAACTTCGGCTCAGGTCATGATCTCACGGTCCGTGAGTTCGAGCCCCGCATCGGGCTCTGTGCTGGCAGCTCAGAGCCTGGAGCCTGCTTTGGATTCTGTGTCTCCCTCCCTCTCTCTCTTTCTCTCTCTCTCTCTCCCTCCCCCTCCCCCACTCACACTCTGTCTCTCCAAAATGAATAAACGTTAAAAAAAAATTTTTTTTATTAAATATCTGCTGATTTGAAGAAACATTAGAACAAAACATGGAGTCATTATAGCTTCCCAGGAGCTGGGGAGCCATCCATGTACAATATGATTCTTTTAAACAAGTTCCCTCAGTATTGAATTTTTCCTTTCCCCAAGAGCTCTATAAAAACACTAGTTCTCTTGCCAGAGACATCAAGGCCTCAGAACTACCGCCCTCCTTCTATGAACATATTATATGGTTTGTGTTTGGCTTAGGATCTTTTTAATAGCCCAGCTCCATTCTGAGAGGCTGACTCAGCAGAACTCCTCCGGCACATTCCTGCTCTTTTCAGGATTAAAGTGCCCATTTGCTGCCAGTTTCGGGGCAGGCTGGGAGCCCACACTGCCTCTCTTCTCCTGTACGCATCCAAGCAGGGAGAGGCTCCACGGCATTGCTTCTTGCCCTGTTTTTGCGGAGCATGTCTCCTGATTCTCCTCAGGTGGTTAGAGCTTGAGCCAGTCAGGTACCTCATTTGTGTCCATGGCCTGCCCAGGGACCACTCAGGTCCTCTCAGTGATGCTGGTGTGCCCCCCGCCTGCCATTCACACTACCCCAGGTGCTTCCTTCCTGCCCTGTTCCACATACCACTGTCCTACCCTCTCATCTGCCCCCTCGTACTTGCCAGAGATCTTTCCTTTCCCTGGACTGAAACCCCAACATAATCTCGAAGGTTTTAGGAGTAAGGTTTGAATGTTTTGCTATGGAAGAGTTCAGTTATGTACAAAAGTAGAGAAAACAGTACCACAAACCTCATGGACCCATCACCCAGCTTCAGCAATCTTTCATCTGCTCCTCCTAATCCTAGATTATTTTGAAGCACGTCTCACACGTCCCGGCATTCCTAGCTCCCTTTTTTCAAAATCCTCACCTCCTTACCGTTGACTTGAGAGAAAGGCCTCAGTAACTCTCGTCCACGTTTCATTTCACTTAGCCCAACCACCCCTCGATCTCCCAAGCTACCAACCTGCTCAGAAATGGATGTGCCTCCCCTGTTCTCCCACAGTCCTTTAACCGGTGCGACAGCGGACAGCGGTGCAGTCTGGTTCACCTGCCTGGCGAGGGTTCCATTACAAGTTGGCCACTTAGAGGGGCAGGGAAGGCTATTTCAAGCATGAGGGGGACAGTGTAGAAAAGGGTACCTGAGTCACATCTCACGGATAAGGATGAGGTGGGTCTGCTTGTTTTTATTCACCATCAGCCACTACAGACGAAGTAAGACAAACTGCCCAAAATAAAATGGCAGCTGTGGTCGCAAGCTCTTGCCTCACTGTCACTCCACCTGCCCTTCCCCAGCGACGCGGAAGACTGTCCTCCCGCGAAGGATCTAAAGACTTGTCCTCCCTTATCTCTGTTTGCAGATGCAGTGGCAGAATGTGGAGCACGTTGGTGACCAGAGCCCTTATGTCACCTCTGTCATTCTTCACATTAAGCAGAATGTCCCTATCATCCGCGACAACCTGGCCTCCACCCGGAAATACTTCACTCAGTTCTGCATTAAATTTGCAAAGTAAGTCCTGGAACATTCCCATCACTGGGTTATTCTGAGTGCCACACTTACCGCCAGCATGCTCACCACCCAGGTGTCCCGCCATCCAGCTGGAATTCATTCTGGTGCCTGTAAACAAACATTTTTTCGTGCTCCAAAGAAGGATAATAAAACGAAGTCCACTACTTAAAGTCATAGACAACAGTAACAGCAGGACAGTCACCAACCACATTAAGACAAACTCAGATGAGCTGGGGAAACTGTTGTTTTGAATTAGGTGGACGTAACAGTGCCCCTGCCTCCCCACAGGTTCAGATAATTAAAATTATTTTTTACTGATGTCAGTTATATATTTTGTCTCTCCAACTAGATTCTAAACTATTTTTAGGGTAGGGACCGTCAGTTCTACTTCTTTGAAGCCTTCTCTTCCTCCTTCCCCATAGTACTTATTGCTGGGGCTGCCAGAATTGATCTGCTTCTGGACCTCCTGGAGTCCGGGGAAGGTACTAGAAATTGGGAAGAGCAAGTCAGGGAGCCCCACTGCCAAAGGACATGTAGTGAACACTGCACTGCTTGTCTTTCTGCTGCGTCCTTGTGTGTGGCCATTTCTGGCTTGACGTTTGGAAGCGGGGATACGGTTTGGGCCTTTGCCAGTCAGCATCTGGCTGTAGCACTGTTTCCCCCGAGACGAGGCAACGGAGAGGGTCAGTGCCTCCTCCGACCAGCCAGCCAACACGCGTTTTGGCACACGCCGCCAGGAAGGGCTTCGAGAAGGTCAGCCTGTTCCCAGCTACTGTATTTAAGTTGTCCTCATCCAAGTCCCAAAGGGGGGTTTAGGGCTCCAAGTTTCTCTCCTCCCCAGATCTCTCCCCGTTTGTATTCAATTAAGGCCTTCTCTCTCTCCCTCACAAATAAACCTGAAGGAACAACGGTTATGGAGAGCTTGCGGCATGAGCTTCATTTCCAGTTTGTCAAGAAAGGATCGGGTGGACTCCCCAGGGAGGCATTAACGTTTGCAATATGGTGGACGAACCCGGAGTTGACATTCCCTACACCCTCTGAGTGCTCATCAGTGTGTGTTAAAAGCATTGCTCATAAATCATGCTGTGACACTCCCTGTACCCTTGGTAGAAACAGTGTCTGTACAATTTCCCTGTGGCCCAAAATCTCCAGTATGGTTGCACAGGGGTCTGAACTAATGTTAAAGAGAACAAGGAGTCATTTACTTAGCTAGTCCCGGCATCAGCCTCACGTTCTGTCAGAGCCCTTTGATTTTATTGCTAAGCTTCTATTGGATGAGCTAGGAAGACGATGCCCATCTCTCATATCTGGAAGTTTAACCTCTGATAGGAAAAGTGGTCTTCTGATTTAATCCATGGTACCCTCTCATCCTTGTAAATCCCAGCCAAAGACTAGAAACCTCAGAGATGGCGCTGTGAGAAGATCCTTCCCCATCAAAAGCAATGGCCACCGCTGCCCCTTGGGGCTGGAGCAGCCTTGGGCAGTTACCCATCACATTGCCAGCACCTCTCCCCACTATGACATGTCTCTGGTCCCTAAATTTTCCCCACCCCACCCTTGTAGACTAGCACACAGAGCCAATTCAAGTGTACAACCGAAGCCCACTCTGGAGAGAAGTAACTTAGGTAATAAACTGTGTACCATTGTGATTAGTCATGAATTCAATGTCATGTTTTTTGTTTGGCCTGGCTCTGATGTAGAGCACTGAAGAATCCCTTCTGCGTAGCCCCTGTTCTCCCTCCTGGTCAGCAGACCTCCCCCTGGATCAGATCTCTAGAGTTTAGGTTTCTTCCCCTTTAACTTCCTCTCTTATCGCATCGATGCAAGCCATACGTGTTTCCTTTTGCCTCCATTTGGTTTCTGAAGCAACAGCAGTCTTTCCTGTTTTGACATCACAATCACAAGCAACTTCCCTCATCCACTAAGCTGATTCTCTTCCATTCAATAATGGGGATCGTAAAACAAATCTCTTAATAGTGGTTGAGAGGATAAAGTGAGAGGTCTTGTGTAAACTTCCGTGCTGGTACCAAGCTGACATTCAAAAAGTGGTAGCTGCTACCATTTTAATTTGTTATTACTTATTATTTATTTAACATGCAGTCATTTGAGCACCTGCTCTGTCCCAGACATAGAATTAAGTGCTTTGGCTTAATAGACGTGGTCCCTGTTTTCATTTGCCGTACAGTCTAGTGGAGGGAAATAAACATGTGAGCAAATAGCATCGTGAGGAAGTTTCTGCTAGGCTAGAGGTCTGTGAACTCTGTGTAGAAGATGGCGGAGGCGACTGAGGAGACGCTTCATAAGGAGGGAGGTCCTGGAGCAGGGTGCAAGAGCTGTGTGGGTACTGACCCACAAGGCCGTAGGGAAGGGCATTCTGGGCACAGGGAGCCGTGTAAGCAGTCACAGAGGCAGTAAATAGCCTGCAGGATCAAGCCAAGGGGGCCACAGCTTAGCATGAGAGGCTAGGGACAGAGAATCAGGACAGTCATGGAAGGTGTCGTCTGCAGCCATTTCAAGAATTTGAATCAGGGAAGGGGCTTGAGCATATGGCATCTGAAAGAAATCCCTTTGACAGCCGATGGTTACCAAAGATGAGGCCGAAGGCAGGGAGCCCAGTTAGGAAACAGTTAAAAGAGCTCAGGTGGGAAGAGGAAGAGCAGCAGCGTCAGGAGGCTGGGTGAGGGAGCGCCGGGGAAGGGCTGGGAACTGATTGGACATTGGGATGGAAGGCTGAGGGAGCCCGCTGGGGTCACTCCTGGTTTCTGGCTCAGGTGACTGGGTAACGAGATCAGGTCCACTGAGCCTGGGTTCCAGGGTGAGGCTGAGTCCTGGCCGTGCTGGAATTGAGGTGCCAGTGCTGTTCCAGTGAGACGGCCGGTACTTCGTCGGGTATTAGAGATTAGAGCGGGCACCAAGGTACAGGAGACAGTGCAGAGAGACCCAGGAGGGTGGAGTCATGGGCCTGAGAGCAGCTTTTGAAGAGTAGGCGATGAGGGTGCTAGCCAGCCTTTCTCTTGACCTCCACATCCTGTTTTATTATCGTTCCTTCGTGGGCCCTGTGTTCCGCTGGTCAGTCCAGTCTGGATCTGCCGTTGATTATGGGCATTTCTAGTTCCCACACCTTCCATTCCGCACCAGTACAACTCAGCTTTCCCGACTCAGGCCCTGCAGTTTGTTCTAAAAAAGGCCTCATGATCTATAAAAATTACTTCTCCCTTTCCCCAAACCAGTTGCCCTTCAGTCCCCAGTAAATTTTTCAGAGATCATGTATTTTTTCCCTTGTTCTGACAGTTACTCCGTTAGCAATTACTTCCTGTCTTTGCATTTAACACCCTATAACTATGTCACTGTCATGTCTGTTAGGGTGATTTTCAGCTGCTAGTAATAGAAGCCTGACTTAAACTCACTTAAGCATAAGGTGAACTTTGTGTTTCTTGTAGCCAGGAGATCAGAGGTAGGACACATCGAAAGATGGTTGATTCAGTGGTTCGGCAATGTCATTAAGGACCACGTTCCTTATTCCCCTGCTCTCCTTGGGGCTGGCTTCATCCTTAGAATGGTGGTAAAATGGCAACTCTAGATGTTTTATTCAAACACAAGAATACCCTGAAGAAGGAGAGAAACTCTTGCCCAGGCCATGCAGTGAAGTCCTTTCCTCCAGTCCGATTGTCCAGCTTGGATTGTGTCCCCCATCTCAGGACCAACAGCAGTCAACAAGGGAATGCCATGCTCTGATTGGCTGAGGCTAATCAGAACTCACCTCTGCAGTTTAGGAGCGATCAGCTCTTCCCCATCATCTCAAGACCTGAGTAAAACCGGGACTTTGGCTGGAAAGAAAAAGAAGACAATGGATGCTGGGAGTCCACAGTAACATCTACTTCAACTTCTCAGTTTTTGTATAGAAGGAAGTGAGGCCTTAAAAAAAAAAAAGTTTCTGGGGCACCTGGGTGCTTTAGTTGGTTAAGCATCCGACTCTCGACCTCAGCGCAGGTCTTGATCCTAGGGTCATGAGTTCAAGCCCCAAGTTGGGCTCCATGCTGGGCATGGAGCATACTTAAAAAAAAAACAAAACAAAAACAAATTTCTACAGTCCTTTACCAAAGAGAGAATGAAGCCTAATTTGTCCCTTTTTTTTCTTTTTTAATCCACAGCTCCTTCATTCCCAAGTTCATCACTCACCTCTTCAAGTGCAAGCCAATTAGCATGGTGGGAGCAGAACAGGTGAGATGAATTGGTATAGGGCCTTTTCCTTATGGCTTTTGTCATAGATCAAACACATCTTTCTAGTAGGGATTTATTCTGGAGAAATAAAATTGCTGATTTCCCCTGTTTGGGGGCAAAAGGAAGACCTGGCAGCTTAATGCATCCACTCATTTAAAACATTTTTGTTGAGGGGCGCCTGGGTGGCGCAGTCGGTTAAGCGTCCGACTTCAGCCAGGTCACGATCTCACGGTCCGTGAGTTCGAGCCCCGCATCGGGCTCTGGGCTGATGGCTCGGAGCCTGGAGCCTGTTTCCGATTCTGTGTCTCCCTCTCTCTCTGCCCCTCCCCCGTTCATGCTCTGTCTCTCTCTGTCCCAAAAATAAAAAAAATAAAAAAATAAAAAAAATTTTTTTTTTAAATAAAAAAAAAAAAAAACATTTTTGTTGAGCACATGCTAAGTACCAGGCATTGTGCTAGGTGTAGGTATACCACAGTGAATAAGGCAGAAAAGATC